TTTACCTATTAATTAAATTACAATATAATCAAGTATTTTAAAATTACAATTAGGTCCTAAAGCCTATCCAATTCTCAAAATTGGTTCATCCCCAATTTCAAATCAGCCGGCAAATTTTCGAGACACATCCACCGACCGTCACGCGTCTACGGCATCCGCCGGGACTGCTAGAACAGGAAGTCGGGGAGTCCGACATTGATTTTTGATTTTGACGGCAACTGAGATATCGTAGGGTCAGTTGAGGGGTGACTGTCTGGTTAGGGTTCCGAGGTGACGGTAAAATGATGAAGGTGATTCGATTCAAGAAAGTGAGATACGGAGGGGGTGCTGAGGAAGACGATGGACCGTCTTTGATCGTCTGGCTTGCAGGTAGAATTATGTGCGAAGGAGAAACAGGCGGCGGATCTCAATTCTGGTGGTCTTCTCCCAGTGCTTACGGAGGCGAGATTCTCTGAGGCGGTGGTAGCTGAGGAAAGCGATGGTGGCTGAGGAAGGTGATGACGGATGTGGTGCTCGCGGGCGGCGGGAGGTGACCGACGGGAGGTTGTGACGAGGAGGTGCTGTGTGTTTGTGTGTGTGTGTGTGTGAGAGAGAGAGAGAGAAGGGGGAAAGAGACGGGTTTAGTCTGATTGGGTGTGGGGCCCGTAATTAATTTGGTGTGAGTGAACAGGTTGGCAGTTTGTGTGTATGGTGGGGTCCACAATAGACATGAAAGATGTCTAAATTTGACTTTTTTATTAGCCATTGGATCATCTAATCTAATAGACATAATTTATTCTCATTTCTTTCACTAGACATCATTCTCATGTGAACCCAACCCTATATATATATATACAAACATATATATATATATATATATGTGTGTTTATAGAATTATAAACAAACGATGCTAATAATGATAATTATCATATACAAATGAAAGTTTCAATAATTTAGTAATAATTATCATATATGTTGAATATCTATGTATATATATAAATATGTTTTCATATAATTATTTTGTCAAGTGGCCTACAAAATCTTTGATAATAAAGATAAAGATATTGGTAAAATCTTTACCTACAATTATCATATGCGTGTATATTGCTATACAAATAATATAAAATATAGATAGATAGATATTTTGACAGATCCACGGGATCAATAAATCATTAAATCAATAAAAATCGACAGAATCAATAAATCATTAACAATCTTTACCTACAATAAATATTTCCAATTTTAGCCGAAAAAGTTTGAGCGAGAAAACTTCATCAATTTTTGGCAAAATGATTTGGTCCATCTATTAATATATAAAGCGGGGAGGCATTTATTTGAAAAAAAGATTCAAAAAAATCAACAAAAAAAACATTTCAATTCCCGCCTAAAAAATAAAACTAAAGATTTTGGGCAAAAAGTTGAAATTTGAGCGCCATTCAACCAATTTTGAAAATTTTGAAAAAAAAAACAAATTAAAAATTTAAATAAAAAGATTACATGGAGATTTTTTGGAGATTTCATATTATCTACCTTTCATACAATAGGAATGGGACACTTGTCATATTTTCATTGGTCCACTATAAATTATATATGATAAGATAAGTATAACTCAAATTATTGATATTATTTTATTTTAAAAAATAAAATAAAAAATACCAAATTCGTATTTTTTCATACTCTATAAATAGAGACCACTCTTGATATGTTTTGGAACACAATTGAAATTATTATGTTGGGTTAGGTTGTAGATAGAACAATACCAAACAATGTATTGTAGAAAATATTTATTAAATAACTAAATAAAAATAAAATAAATATTATACTATCTTTATTAAGTCATCAACTAAAAAAAATAATAAAAGAATAAAAATAATAGCAAAATCCGAGACTCGGGTCAAATTGTGACACTGGATCGCAACCTAGCCACAAGGAGGGAGAGCGAAATGAGGTGAGTGAAATGGGGCAAGTGTCTCATTTTTATTGGTCTATAAAAATTTTATATAATAAGATAATTGTAACTCAAATTATTGATATTAATTTATATGAAAAAAATAAATAAAAATTTATTTTTCATTCTCTATAAATAGAGACCACTCTTGATATATTTTGGAACATAATCACAATTTCTATCTTTTCACCCTCTTTTTAATCGTAACTTATCAATTTTATCATATCTATTATTTTATTATACCACAACTAAAACAATAACAAAAAAAATATTGTAGATAATATTTAATAAATATATAAATAAATATAAAATAAATATTATGTTGGGATAAAGGACTATTCTATTATGCCTTTTCCAGATATGAGTAGTATTAATTCAAGTGCGAACCGTCTAGTTTTGGATGAACTTAACTATGACCGTAATGCTCTAGCTATTGTGTTGCATCAAGTGGAATAGCATCTCTCATGTTGCCGGGCGGACGAACTGCACATTATCCTCGATTTGGCATTCTTATTTTTGTGCATGAAAATTAATCGTGTGAGATCAATCAGGCTAGCCCCCTTGCCGAGTTGATTACTCGCTCTTCATTGATCATATGGGATGAGGCCCCAATGATGCATAAGCATTGTTTTTTAAGCTGTTCAAGCATCTTTTAAGGCAGTAATAGGAGCCCTCGACCCGACAAATCATCATAAACCGTTCGGAGGCAAGACTGCTGTGTTTGGTGGAGACTTTCTACAAATCCTTCTGGTAGTTTCAAAGGAGAGTCGTTAGGAGATTGTTAATGCTGCTATTAACTCTTCTAGCATTTGGGGAGAATGTACTATGCTTAGGCTTACAAAGAATGTGCGTCTTCAGAGCATTGGCGATTCGAATGAACGTGACGAGTTGGCCGCTTTTACTGATTGGATAGCGAGTATTGGAGATGGAACATTGGGGGTAAAAATGATGGATGTTCTCCGATAGACATACCAGATGATCTATTACTAGAGTCATCCGATGATCCAATTGCAAAAATTGTTGAAAGCACGTTTCCGATGTTCAAGAATGCAACCGACCATCCAAGTTACTTGAAGGATAGAGCTATACTTACGACAACACTCGATATCGTAGAATCTATTAATGAATACATGTCGTCGTTAAATATGACTGAGGGACGCACGTATTTAAGTTCAGACAGTACGTGTAAATCCGATTCAAATATCGACTTTGTGGCACAACTCCATACTCTTGAGTTCTTGAACACTATCAAGTGTTCTGGAACGTCGAACCATGAATTGAATTTGAAGGTCGGAACTCCAGTTATGTTGTTGCG